TTTTTTTTTGTTTTTGTTTTTGTTTTTGAAGGCTAATTCTTTAAGCCCAACCAATTCAATTACCTGTCAAATCTGGACAGGACAGCCTTTCAGGCCTTTTCTTATTGTCATTATAGTATTACGGGGAACCCCGTAGCAGCCACATCCGTGCTCAAGCCTCCAACTGCACCCACCAGCAGGTACGATACTGGGCGATACCAGCCAGGGGTCAGCATCAGGACCGAGCTTCTTGGAAGGTGCATGCCAGTCAATGTGACTCCCCTCTGGTCCCCTCCCCCTATGAACATCAGCAGTCTCGGCTCAATGCCACTCGGGGGGACCAACGACATATCTCTAGGTGGCTGGTGCCAAACTTGTTCAGGAAGGTGCATGAGGCCAATGCGGATTGAACCCAAGACCTCCTGAATGCCACTTGCGTGCCTTACCAACTGAGCTAGGCCGCTGGATTTTTTTCTTATTTCTCCTTTCCACTGTCTTTGTTTTTTTTTTTGGTTTTTTTTTAATTCAAGACCTATTTCACCCCTTTAATCTACTTTACCAAAAAATGTAACAGAAATAGATGATGTGACATGGGGCTTAACCACATGGCACACAAGACGATGTTCAGACACAGTGCATTTGCCCACAGCGGTTGGCAAGGTCACTCTTTTTTTTTCTTGTTACGTGCACCGTGTGGCGGGGCCCATGGAAAGACTCTCATATTGCTACAACGCATGTCCCCCAGATCCCACACCCTCTGCCACGCGTCGGACCTCCACTCCCTGCAGATGCAAACACCGCTCTACAGGCGGACAAAAATGCGCACAGAAGAGAAAAGAAAAAAAAAGAAAAAAAAGAAAGGAAGAAAAGCTCACAGCCTTAGCACACAAGTTGCAAAACCAACCACTTAACCTACTTTCTTCCACCGGACATAATGCACCCCAATAATGAATGTATACAAGATATATTTCCAGTCAGATACAGCCAAAATGAGGGCGCATTATATGTTCGGGCGAAGACAGTAGCAGCCCGCTTTGCACGTGTCTTGAAGTGCGACAACGCGCTTTCAATGGTGCAACACAACACGGTAAGAAGTGTCAATGGGCGTCGCTCCGCTACACAACACTCTACAAGCATTTGGACGCTTTCTGGACCCGGTGCATTCGGATGATTCCAACATTTTAAATGCATCAGGTCCACAAAGCGCCCACATGCATGTAGAGTGTTGTGTAGTGGAGCAAGGCCCAATGTCATCAAATAGTACAAACTCAGCAAACTGTTAAATGTCCAACTAATCGTTCTTTTTTCTACCTGGTTTCGTATGTGTCGTTTTTTTTTTAATGTCAACAAATAACACAAACTGTTAAATGTCAAACTAGTCATTCTTTTTTTCTACCTGATTTCATATGTGTCGTTTTTTTTGTTTGTTTTTTTTCATTTCTTTTTATTTAACAAGTCCGACGGACCACGGATCAGATAATTAAACTGCTCTTGTTTTCTCTTTTCTGAAATCTCATTGATATTTTTCATAAGACACAAAAATAGCAGTTAAAGAAAAAAAGAAAAAAAAGGCAGTTTTATTAAATCATTAAAAAAAATAATTAATGTTTTTAACTTTTTATTATTTTTTAATGATATCCAACTTATTTCAACATCCAATAAGCAGAATTCGAATCCAGCTGCACAGGAGCAAATTCACACCATTCGGAAAAGAATTGGCATTTTAAAATGATTTTTAATATTTTATCGACTTTTCATTGTTTTCAATGCCAGCCCACTTAATTGAATTTCAAGATCAGACTAAGCAGAGCTCAAATCTCGCTTCACAGGAGCGCTAAATCACAACCTACAGAAAAATCGCAAAAAAAAAAAAAAAGGAGAAAAAAGCGGTTTTTAATTCTATGATTTCTATGTAATTTGGTACAAGGGGAAAAAAAAAAAAAAATTGAAAAAAAAAAGAGGATTAGTTAATCCAAGATTGGATTACCAGAGCTGGAATTCCAGCTTCACAGGAGCAGAAGCTATAACCTTCTCAACTTGTGAGGGCAAGTACTCACACTAGGACTTTTCGACAAATCTCTGGACGTGATTGCCGTCAGATTCATCCAGGTCTTGCAGTAATTGCAGTCAGATGCATTTTGAAAAGTGCTAGTCTGAGGGCATTCACACCAGGACTTTTTTTTACTTATTTTTTGACGTAATTGTGGCCAGATAGATCCACATCTGGCTGTAAATGCGGTCAGATACATTTACAAGGGAGCTAGAGTGAGTATGGCCCGAGTATGCCCTGAATGTGCCGGGGAGAGAAGAAAATGGAGAATATTCAGCAAACTCCATATCCTCTGTGGGACCTACGGAGACAAACCTCTGGACGTGATTGCAGTCAGATTCATCCAGGTCTTGTCGCAATTGCAGTCGGCGGATGCATTTTGAAAAGTGCTAGTGTGAGTACACCCCGAATGTGGGCAGCGGAGAGAAGAAAATGGAGGATATTCATCATCAAACTCCATATCCTCTCTCTGCCGAATCTCCTGACAAAGTTGGTATTTGCTGTTTTTCGTCTTTGTCTTATTCTCCTTCGGAGATCTCCCTCCTCTCTCGTCCATATCGCTGCCTTCAACACGCCGACTCAGTTCAGTTCGCCTACTTTTCAGATGCACCCCATGTTGTCGCTGTTGCTCATTTCCGAGCCCATCATCTAACCACCCGTCATTCTCCGTTTTCAACGTTTGGCATGCTCGCCTCCTCTCTCCTCCATGTCGCTGCGTTCAATATGCCGCAACTCGTACAGTATATGCTCGTTTTTCGGATGTTCCTCGTTGTCGCTGCTGATCTCTTTCCAACGCCAGTGTCTGCAGGCTCGTGAGAATGTCAACCGTCCCGACATACACAGCGCCAAGTCAACCGTCCCAACATACACAGCGCAAAGTCAACTGTCCCGACATACACAGCGCAAAGTCAACCG